CTTGGCACTTTTCTCAGCCTTGCTTGGAGATAGCTTGCCTATGTTTTCTAGGCCAGCACCTTCTACCAGCAATGCCTGTAAATTTACTGTAAATATAGTAATATTTAATTATAGATGCACTATAGTGCAGCATCTATTTACCACAGATGCCGCAGTCAAATGTGGAGAAAGTCATAAATAATAAGGTAACTTCTAAATTACAGCAGAACAGTATTCCACCCACACAACCTCTGTGCTACCTTAGCCCTATAAAAAATCATTTGCTTTTGATGAGCGAAGGATACAGCGCTGAAACTCTGCCGGCAAACAGCAGACTAAAGCAGAACAGCAAATATCAAAACTTTTCCCTGAAATATAAGACTCCAGGCAGCGTGTTCTGACGTTATGCTTGCAGCACGATGCCTTTGAGCCCTGCTTAYGGGCTGTTTCCCCTCCTGCACGTATACATATAGACGTATAGACGTAGCCACCGCCTTCCCAAGCAGGCCGCCGCTAAGCGGCTGGGAAGGAGCCGATTGCCTCTAATCAGCTTAGCGGGGGGAAGCTCACGAAACTAACTGCAGATGGCAGCCCCTTCGCCCCCCGGGGCTGCCCCGCTTTTCAGCCAAGAGGCATCTCTTCCTGCTCACTTTGGTAAGGGGGACTGAGCGCCTCATCACACGCAAAGCAACAGGACGCCTCGCAAAGGCTTTGGTAGCCACGCCGTTGTGTGGGGCAGTGTTTTATACCACTGTCTGTGGAAACTCAAGTAAAATACCAACTGCGACAGGAGCACAYGTGTGAGCAGGGGGGCCAGGCTTTAGCCCACGTTTTGCTGGCAGGCCCTTTTCAAACGTGAGGCGTTGAGAGAGCCACGTGGGGCAGGAGTCACCTCTCCCGAGTTCCCATGTCTCCGGCAGCGACGCTTCCCTGGGCCCACTGCCGCTATAGTTCATGTGCAGGAGTAGGCGCTGGAGGCTCTGCCCGCTCCCGTTTCCCACTAAATTCAACACAGGTTTGCGGCGGCTCAGTTTGCAGCAGAGAAGAGCCGMAGCCCAGCTGGGAGCAGGCAGTTTTTTGGCCCGGGGGCAGGCGGCTTCGCAGGGGTAGGTGCTGGCAAGAGCGGACGTGCTTGGCAGAGCCGGGAGTCGGGAACAGGCAGGACAGGCTCCTGCGCGAGGCAGCCGCCGGCACGGGAGCCCAGAGCGCCCGGCTGGTGCCATTGCCCCAGTTTGCGCATTAGGGTAAACCATTAAATAAGTGGCAGTCACGTCACCRTGTAGGACCACGACCTGGCTGGCGGGGCCATGAAACCTCGCGCTGTTCTGCTTGGTCCTGGGGCCAGGCAGGAGAGCTGTCTCAGGGCCCCATTGCAGTGCAAGGGGTCTTTCCCCTTACCCCCAGGCTGCAAAAACTATAACCTTGACCTGCAACCCTCTGTAGAGTCAGGGAAGGAAGAGGAGCTACAATAATCCAGGGACGTACAGGCTAATTGATAACCCCCAGGGATACCGCCCGCTTGCTGAGGGACTCTAAAGGGGTCTTCATGTGGTCTGCTAATGTCCAACAGCTGCGGTGGTTAATTACCTGCACTCATCTTTTAAATGGAGAAGGTGTACACTAATCCCTCCTGAAGCCAAACTGGGAGAACAGTACTTATTAGCTGAGGCAGATGGGGTGTAAAGAGCTTGAAGTGGTAAAGGAGCATGAATCAYGAAGGAGTAATTGTTAAGTGATTGACGTAGAGGAGAAGAGAACAACAAATACCYAAACTAATCCAAGGTTTTCACTGGGACAGGTCTACTCTTAATGGCCCGTTTCCAAAGTTTCCTCTGTAAAACCCCACTGAAGAGTTGTAAGGAGCTCTCTCAGGCTGGTCTCTGAGCTGTGCCCAGCTTGTCCCCTCTAGTCTCTCCCCTCTGTCTCTGTGAATTTCTACTTTGACTCTCTCGCTTGTGGATTTCCTGGCAMAAGCACAAGTGAGGTGGACAGCTAGATCGGGCAGTAGCCACTTCACTGCTTGGGGTGAAGAAGAGAATGGAGCTACACATCACACCTACCTGCCATTTATAACCTCTTAATTCATGGGACTATGGCAGCAGGCAGCATGAAAACAGTGCAAGTGTTTTCACAGGAAACAAACAAACAAACAAGCAAACAAAAAACTATTTGCATTTGAAAAAAGGGTATGTTTTCCCTATAGCCAAAGTGGGAGGGAAGCAAAATGCTTAGAGGTTTTTCTATGCAGGCTGMATCACAAATTTGACTTCTTAATTAATCTGTCAGTCTACATCTCCAAAAATATTTTAGTTGCCCTTAAAAAGAATCATGAATCCAATGCCTACAAATACTATTGCTAGGTCTTAACTCTGCCAAAATTAGAAAAACATCTGTGCATATACTTGAGGAAAAACTTAGCAAGATCCATTCGAAATTGTTACGAAGTAAAACATTACTTCAGAAGAATTGCAGCTGTATTAAACACTGTACCTTAGATTTTTCCTTGTTATAAAAAGATAACAACAGTATGATTGTATCAGCTGTTAGTCTTTTTCTGTTCTGCCTTTGTCAGACACTTATGAGTATTTAAATAGCTAATCTTTTGTTACACTTGAATGTTGCCCAACATTAACAGTCAGACCATGTTTTTTGTTGAAGGACGTTTTGCTGACCTTGAAATCCTCACCTTTCTTGGTGCTGAATTGACAGCCACGAAGCTGGGACAAATAAAGGAAAATAGGAAACAGGTTAAGACTGCTGTCTGGTGAATAAGCCCTGCTGAGGCACAGTCGGCTTTCCGGTAGTCCCACGAAATGATTTTAATGCAAGTCCCATGCCAGAACGAGGACTGAAACTGCCAGAAGGGGTATTTAGGGCAATGATGTGGATCTGCCATCCCGGGCATGGGTTAAAGGGGAAACACTGCGGAGCGGCCGCYGCAGGGAGCCCACGGGGGCTGCCCCACGCGGGGCTGCCAGGAGGAGCTCAACCGCGGCGCCCATCAGCCACCAAAGCTGAGCTCAAGGACACCGGGAGCAGCAGAGGGTGCCTCAGGGGGCACAACCCAGGCCGGTTTGGTCTATCTGAGTACACCCTGGGGTGCATCTGGATGTAGCCAGGGGTTATGGCTATGCTAGGATTCTCCTGCAGATTTCCCACCACTGCTGTGCTGTGGATGTTAGTCTTTCCCATGGTGAAAACCTCAGCAGAGGTTTTCACACCTCAAAGCTTTCTGAAATTACAGAGAGGRTTTTTATTGCCGCGGGGGAAGGCGGCGAGCGTTTGGCTAGCGAGGATTAGGACAAGGGAGCCTCTATGATCTGGGAAGAAACAGAGATGTCCAAGAGGTGCATTTATTCCCCTCACACAAGAGCTTCCACAAGAGAAGAGGAGCAGCTGCCTTGTGATGGATCATGCTGAGCCAAGCTGGTCCCAACTGCCCAACTTTGAGACACCTTCTGATCCCAAATGACCACAAATTCAGTCTTCACCTCCCACTTCTCTCTATCTCCCTGGCAAAGCACCTCTGGGCAAGAGTAACTTCTATGAAAAACAGTTGTGATACTATTTTTAGTTATTGTTATTATTATTATTATTTTCTTTTGGTTTGCTTTTATCAGGGCAAGTACTTTTTTCTGGACTACTGGTTTAGCTTATAGTATTTCCTGGCTTCTGTTGACTGCATAGTCTTTCCTACTGCTGACTCCAAGCTCTCGTGTTCACAATCTGCCCCATCTCTCTCCACACACAAATAGGAAAAAGTGTTTTATAAATACTTCTATCAAAATATTTAACTCCGTATTTTTAAATACACTGCCTCACTCTTGTCAGTTAACTTTTCCACCTACTGCACCCCCTCCACCTAGAAAACTAGGAAGATGTTCCTTCCAAGTACAGAATCCATGAAATAAGTAACCCTTCCACAGAAATCACCACCACTAGACTATGGAGCAAGTGGGACTAGGGCAGGTTGAAGGTCCTGGAAAATGATTTCTGCTTCCCAAGAGCAAAACTGAAGGTTATTCTCACACCTACAGATTGTCTTCCTTTTTTTTTTTTTTTTTTTTTTTTTTTTTTTTTTTTTTCCATAGAGCTTCAGTGTCTCCATAAGCAAGAAAAAATACCAAAAATATGGAAAAGAGGTTCGTATTTGGAAAAGAAAAATATTTGTGGGATGAATCTGCCTCTCATTAGTCTCCTACTCCTGACCACATGTGCCTGGTGCCAATGCTCTTGGCTCTCCCATGTCAAAGCTAGATGGGCACKTGGATGCAGCGGGAGATGGGGCGCTGCAGCTCGGGGCCTCAGGTTTGACCCCAAATAATGGAGCAGCRCTCAAAGATACTGCCCCGTGCCCCTTCCTGATGTACCGTGATGGGCACTGCAYGGACCCCATGGGTTTCTCTGATCAACGTCTGTCCGTGTGTGGCCTCGTTCTCTTGCTGCACACTGAAAACCAAGCTTGGGACTGGAAGGTTAATGGAGGGGGGACCSCTGCCCACCACCCCGCAAACTGTTYCCCTCTTGTTACTGGGAAGAGGAGGGAGAGCCCGGGCTCTTGCTGCAGGCGGAGGTGTCACCTCGGGGGCTGTGGGTGCAAGGCTGGAAGGGGAGGGCCGGCCGGGTGCCTCGAGGGCGGCAGGGGCAGGAGAAGCCGGGGCAGGAGAAGCCGGGGCAGGAGAAGCCGGGACAGGAAAGCGCGGCGGCGGCACCACGCAGCCCAGCCAGCCTCCAAAGCCAGGGCCAAACTTTTCGGCAACCCTTTCACCGACTCTCCAGAATCCCCGAGTGCTGCTTCCAGCGGGGCCACCTCCACCGTCCGCTGCAGTGCCAGGAGAGCCGTTCCCGAGGGGAGCGGGCACAGCGCGGGACGGAGAGGGGCCGCGGCGGCAGCGGGGCGAGGAGGAGGAGGAGGAGGAGGAAGGGGGCGGGTAAGAGCAGCTGCACCTGCCTCTCCCGCCCCCCACACTCACACTCGCACTCACACTCGCACTCCGCGGGGGGCCTCGCAGGGCCCCGGCATGGCGGAGAGCGGCGTCCCGCCCTGCGTGGGCAGCGGCCACGCCGCGCCGAGCGCGGGAGCCGCCGCGCCGAGC